AAACCTTACGAGAATGGTGAGAACATAGTCTGCGTTCAAAATAACAATTTTATAAACTTTACACAATTTTAGTTTTGGGACGAGTGCACTTCACCCCAGAATTTAGAATTTCGTGAGGTCCACTTTCCTCCGTGTGGCCACTTTGCCCCATCTCTTCCCTCGGATAACTCGAAAATGTCCAAACACGCTCGAATCCGTGCTTCGCCCGCGCCGCCCGCGGGCGAATCGTGAGCGCGGTCACATGTTGAGAATTTTATTTCAAAAAATATTCAACGGTCCACTTTCAAATTTTCAGACAATATTCTCTGTACTATAATAACAAATTAGAGAAAAAATTATTCAATTTGAAGATGCCCCTTTTGAAATAATACAAATTATTTAAGAAATTGTTGCATACAAATTATTAAACGACCGAATTTTCGACCATTAAAACGTGGACTTTAAAGTGAATCCTATTGCACATTTTGCCCTGCAGTGCTTTGCTTTTAGTCGAAAAGTGGACGATGCACAATGCATTTAAAGAAGAACCGATTTTTTGGAGTCGATAAATTAAAAAATCGATATTTCGAAAATTCTTCATATCATATTGAAATTAGAAAATACGTGTCATTGTTTTCCCCCTTGAAAACAAGGGAAAAAATTTTTAGATATAAAACCTAAAGACCCTTATATAAAAAACCAAGTTTCAAGGACAAAATAGATATCCAACATCAAGATAAGTTATCAAGTTATATATTCAATTATAATTCAATTTTTATGCTAAAAAAAAATCATAATTTTGGTAAAATTAATATTTTGATCTCTTTTATCTCCCATTGTACCGCCAGAACATTCAAGTCCATTCTGTTGATATACATACATAATTCTCTGTTCCATCGATGGCAGTGCCTTCGATCCATCTGTTGGGAGATTCGGCAACTTGGTTTGTGAGTAGTGAATCAGCATATGGTTGTGTAAAAATAATGTATTAGTAGCAGTGGTAGTGTACCATAGTGTATGTACTGGTCTGGTAGTTGCCCTAAGAGTAGGAATTTAGTCGAAGATCTGGAAGGAGAAGAAGAAGAATATGAGTAATGTATCTTAGTCAGTCATAGTCTTAAGTCGCGGTCAGTCATTTACGAGGCTATAATATCCATTATTAATTTTGTTGTCCTTAGAGTGAAACAGTGCTGGTATTAATGTGAACTTATATGTTACCTGGTAATTGCAGTTTTTGTATACTTCATTGGTTTCGTGCAATAATTGTGAAGGATTAAGTACTGTATTATCCTAACCACAAAATAATACGATTTGACATTGACTAAACTACCATACGTTCACAAAAATGTAAAATAATGTTTCTGTAAGAAGTACATTTTTTTGAGCTTGTAGTATATTATTAGTTTACGAATATATAACAGAGTTTTTGTTTCAAAGTAAATTATACTTTGCCCAAGATTTGATCAAGTGTTTTGATCCTATTTATGTGACATTGCAAATACTGTTTATTGTTTCAGTAGATATTGTTTTAAGAAATTTTTTTCAGTATGTAATGGAAAAGTCATATCTATTTTTATCCTTTGATGTTAGTGTGTGATATTTTTATATATTTGCGAAAGATCAGATGCTGTGAAACCTGAAGTTATTTCACCTTAATATTCTTTGCAATAAATTAATAAAAGATTCTATCACTAAAACAAATCTGGGTAAAACTGCAGAATACGACTCCTTGAAAGACTATGACTCCTTCTTGAAAGACTACATGTAAAAAAACTATACAATCCACAGCTGACTTCAAGAAGAAGTTGTATTCTGCAGTGTAACTCAAATTTGTACCTCATGGTATACATGTTTGCATTACATTGCTATATGCATATATTTGATTACCTATATATAATTTTTATGTAACTAAATTAAATGTATCAAAACTTTATAATATTTCTTAACTTTAATTCAGTTTAATTTTACAATTATACTATTTTGATTTTACCATAATTTTATGTTAATATTGAAAAATAGACATACTGTTAATTTAAAATGATGTTGCAGATACTTTTATTCTGAGAGTATCACATTTACAAAGAATCAGATGATATGTGGAAACTATATTAAGGATTTAATATCCATTTCATAAATTACAGTGGAAATAAATCTGCATCATTATTATTAAACAAGAAGAATAAAGAATAAAAACAATGGAAGAGCAAAATGAAAATAATACAAAAGCAGTGGATCAGAAGAGCGGAGTTCTATCATTAGCAAAATCATTTGCAACAAAATTAGCAACAGTGGGAATAATTTGGGGTTGGGGTTATATGAATTGGAGTATTGCATGGCTCATTGGACCTGTAATTCTTTCTGTATGGAAAATGGAAAAGAAACGAGATAATGAATTACGAAGGATAACAGCTCAGGCAATGGCTATGTCTCAAGAAAAACAGATTATAATGAATAGATTGGATGAGCTTCCTTCTTGGGTTTACTTTCCAGACTTTGATCGTGCTGAATGGTTAAATCGGGTATGATTATTTTTATCATATATCCTTTTATTAGATGTATAGATATATTGCTTTTCAAGGAAGAATATCCTTTAATAGTAAATACAAATTTATTTGTATGCAGTACTAGATGCAGCGTATGTATATACAATATATTGAACTCACAATTGAAATAGATTAAAATATAATAAACCGATTATTTATCAATTATAACCTTATAATGCATCTTATCAGGACATCTACTTACCTTAATAGTAAAGATTTTATTGATATTAGATTAGTAACTACAAATAAATTATATAAATGCAACTAATGCACTTAACATATTTTTTGTAGATTTTATACAAAACCTGGCCAAGCATGAACGAGTTTGTTCGTGGATTAGTGAAGCAAAGCATACAACCTGCCATTGTGGAACGATTAGCAGATTATAAAATGAAAGGATTCCAATTTGAAAGATTAGTCTTGGGCCGCATTGTAAGTTACTACTTTTCGAAATAACAGAAAATGCTTAACTTAAAGTCTTAATGTGTGATTGAAATGTCCATTTCAATATTTGATATCACAAACATGAGAATAAAATTTCAGTTCCGTACAGTTATATCGGAAAATTGAAAAACTAACCATTTTGGCGTTAATTTTAAAAAACTGCATCAAATTATAATTAACACGTTCCGTGCCGGACTTTCTTTTCTTACTTTTCGATCAGGCAGCGTGGAGCGTACGCGCCCCACAATGAATTTCTAACATAATTGTAAACTGTTTCCATGGTAAATTTTCCGTCATATATTTTACAAAATCAACTTTATATTAAATATTTTTCCATGGTGTTCAAAGTTTATATCCGCTATTTTCTCTTAGCACCTGTGATTATTCCGCTGATTAAAAATTGATACGACTATGAATATTAGCTTACTCAGATAAGAAATATTCCACTTCTCTAACAAGACTATCACAGGATAATATAGAATACATAACATTTTATTAGAATCCTGGTATTGGTTATGTGGACACAAACACACATATTTAATATCTAAGCATTTATTATTGCTATGTAGGTGCATTCTATTAGACAATCAGTTTTGCTGGACGTCATGTTCTGCTGAATTCTTGCTTTGTACTGTACTGTACTGAAATACATACAGAGTATGTGATTCGTGTACGTACGGACATAGCAAATACATGAAATACTTACTTTGTGATATACCGTGTATGAATTAAAAATTCTCACAGCTACAGAAATTTATTTACATTTAAGATGAGGATTTCGTAATACAGCAGAAAAAGTAAGCATGAATAAGACTTTCATGTACAAATAAAACGTTATACGATCCAACGTAGTTAAAAATTATATATTATGTGTGCTTTTTTACAGTTGTTACTATTACGATTTATTAATATTAAATGTATTTCATAATTATACTACTTCATTTCCTTTTGAATTTACTTATACAGGAAAAACCAAGTACACGATTTCAGTTATCTTACTTCCTTTCGTCTTACTTTTTATGTTTTATCATCGCTTATTCACGGTGTTGTTAGCGTTTTTTTCATTTCTAGATAAGATATAACTTGTGTTAGTTGATCCGTATTAATCATGTATATAAGGATATATTATGATACATGTACGACGCATGATGCAAAAATAGAGAAGAGTTATAGTAATTATTACATCTGATATAACAAAACACGTGTAATCAGACTTCTTGAATAAGATTAAAACTTTCATATAAATTAAATGTGGAAATAGCATAATTATATTTGTCATATGATAACTCTTTCTAGCCTGCGAAAATATGCGGAATAAAAGTCTACGATAAAAATACATCAAGGAATGAAATTATCTTAGATGCTGACATATTGTAAGTATAACATAATTATACCCTTAATCAACCAATCAGATATATATATATATATGTATATTTAAAATATGAATCCATTCAAAATTCATAAATGACGTTACTGTAGTAATGTATGATCTTAACATCTCATAATAAAACTAATTATCCAGATATGCTGGCGATTGCGACATTACTTTCTCCTTCGGAAATCTCAAAGGAGGCATCAAGGATTTTCAGGTGAGTCAATTTCTGTGAAATGGTACAAAAATGGGAGTAATTGAATTAATGATAATAAAAAAAGTGTTGAAATTTTATATTTTATAAAATTGACAAAACTACAATAATTTTCGTGAAAAAAAATTATTTATAAACGATACAATGTCGCAACCATTTTTTAAAATTAAAATTCCCATTCTCATCTCATAAAATAAGTGGTTAGGAACAGAAAAACTCTTTTGTAACCTTTTGATTTAAGTAACTCTACTCCTTGAATCTCCTCTACTCCATAAAAAATGTAGTTTTGGGTAAATTATTGTTATAGTTTTGGAGAATTATACATCTTAATGTATTAAATATAAGTAAACTACAATTTTTTATATAAAATTATGCTTATTCCGGCAGTGACTATTTTTTTCTTATATTTTCATACTACTTCCTTGAAAACTCAAGAACAATAACAATTTCTGATTAGAATTTTTATGGTGTCCCCTTAAAAATATTCCATTTATCGTTTTAAATATCCTATAGGTGCTTTGGATCATTATTTCTTATTTTATTATTCTAATAACCGTTTCCTATTATGATTACGTTTTTGACCTATTTGGAGTATCGTTTCTTGTACTCAAGTAGTCCAGATTGTCGTTCTCGATATATACATTTTCCTGTGCAAAATCCCTTATTCAACATTCTGAAGTACAAAGGTCATCCTTACAAATTTCAAGTTACTCCAAAATATTATTTTGATTCTATAATTCAGATCAACATTCTTCCTTATCTTTAGACATTTCTGAAGTCCAGTTAATCATCTAGGATTTAGAGGTCCTTCGACTTATTATCCCTTGTGCCCAGATATCCAAAAACGCTAATGCTCTGTATTAAAGCTAATTATAATATTATTTTAATATTAAACCGTCATTTCAACGTATATGACAGTAATCCGTAATAATTCTAGCTAAGGTCCTTATCTACTCATGCCTCTCTCTTCCTACCTATGAAATTGTATGGATGAAAATTCTGCCTAGAGAAATATATTCAGAGTTTCATATTGTAGTTAAACATTAATAATTGTATAAAGGCGGTATCAAGAGCAAAGTTCGTAAAAAGAGAATGAGGAAAAAATAATTTCCACATAAATCAACTCTGAATGGTGATTCGAGGAACTACACAAAACTAAAACCTAATAGTCTTCGTTTTATAGCCATTTTGTTTAAACATATCACATTATGATCGACATTTTATGCATCATAATCTTAAAAAAATTTCGTATGTTTTAAAGTGATGTCATTGAACGGTATGGTGTATTCGTTTTGAATGGCCTAAATCATTTATACAATAACAGATCCATTATTATCTGATTACAGATTCGCGGAATGATAAGAGTAGTAATGAAACCAATGATTTCCGTAATGCCGCTGATTGGTGGGTTACAAATATTCTTTTTAAATAATCCTACCATCGATTTCAATTTAGTAGGAGCGGTAGATGTTTTGGATTTACCCGGTTTCAGGTAAGTTAATTTCTGCATCATTATTACACAATACATACAATTTGTGCCACTTCTACTTAGAAAATTTCTTTACATAGTGATGTACTTCGGAAAACAATTGTCGAACAAATTGGCGCTATTCTAGTCCTGCCAAATAAATTGGCAATACCACTTAGTCCCGAAATTCCTGCTGAGATGCTAAAGACACCTGAACCAGAGGTAAATAATAAAATTCATATTTTACGTCCACATACTTTTACCAAATTTAAGCACTTGATTACAATCTGTTGTGTCAGTATTTCGTCGAAACTGAAATTTTTCTTGAGCCATATAACCGTCTATAACATTATGAGCCACTCAGAATTTACTATCTACAGGGTGTTCTGAGAATTCATGTAGTACAAGCGAAGCATCTTATGAAAAAAGACATTGGTATGTTGGGCAAAGGAAAATCCGATCCCTACGCAGTTATAAATATTGGCGCAGAAGAATTCCGCACAAAAACTATTGACAACACGGTTGATCCAAAATGGGATTACTGGTGTGAGGTATGTATCGTGTTTCTGGGGTTTAATTTCTTTTTATCTCTTTGAGCCTGGTGAAAGGAAACACATTTTTCTAAGCATGTGCTCGTTAGAAAAAATGATCTTGCAGTTACTAGAATTTTCAGGCCGTTCTTTTTTGGCGGTAAGAGGCAAAATCTAATTTTCAGTTTATTCTAGCAATATAGTAAAATACAGTTTTCACACGTCATATCATTTAATTCACATATTATCTCTGTAGCGCGTGTGAATGAAATATTTATTTCTGATACTCCAGTTGAGATTTTTTAAAGTAATTTTTGCTTACTGCATTCTTGAAATTAATCTAAAGAATTCGTTTTGTTGAATTCTGAAGATCACTTCAATGGGAATAGAATCTTTTCTTGACAGCATTATTCTACTTTATAAAGGCTCTTTCCATTTCTTTATGACTACCATATACTTTCTATTGCAATGGTTTTGAAAATATCTAACAATTCTTCGTTATGGGCAAGATAGAAATATACACGTTTATTTAATATTTTTCATTTCTATACATTATTTGTATTTGATAATTTTCCTTTAAACTGGAATCATGCCATATGTGATATATTTTTGGGTTTCTATATTTGCTGGTTCTTTCGAGATGTTGTTGATCAGTTTCTATATCTATTAATACCATATTACTGTGATAAATTGATACTACAATTTGGACTATCTACAACCACTGCAATCAATGATAAGCTAATGCACTTTGTGAATTGTAATTGATTTTAATTGGTAATTGGTTAAAAAAAACATCTCTTTAGAGTCGATGAAATGATGCTAGAGGTAATTAAGAACTTTAAAATCACAAGGGCTAAATTCTGTAATATGGATTAATCTGGTATGACTGTGTGACGTGTGACGTGTGACGTGTGATGCGTGATGTATGGGGAATCGCAGTGTGTCATCAGTTCGGCCATCGCGCAGCAGCTTACTATTCACCTGTGGGACTATGATGATACCAAGGAAGACGAGAGTCTTGGAAGGTAACATAGACTATTTTTACTCTCTCGTACTTTATCCTACCGAACTAGCAACCAAGTCCGGCTAATTTTTTTATTACACCTCTCAGGACAACGCCTGCTTTATTAATACATGGTCTTCAAAATATTTTCCACCATTCCCATCTGTTACTAGTTTTTTCGTGATGTAGTAAATACAAATAATTACAAATATTTATTGTTTGTAAATTGTTAATTGTTTGTGTATTTATATGTAAATTTCGCAATATTTAATTTACTCGAGAATTCTACTTTCTTCTAAATATGGAAATTATTATTTGTATTACAGTAACGTTCTTTAAAAGTAGCATTAATTTTGGTCTCTGGTTCGGTATGGTTTAATTATATTGTACATATAGTAAACATACAAGTATCACATTAATCATGAATTTTGAAAAATTAATATACAGTAAAAGTTAATGTAATTGCTAGAATATGTTAATATTAAGAAATTATATCGTGTCAATGTGTCTAACAAGGAACAACCGAACAAATAGTTTCGATAAATCAGGTATCATTGGCTTGGTTACTGTGAAGTATTACGCGCATGTGCATGCTAAAAAATTATGCTTTTTTAAACTTTATTACAGTTCTTACAGATATATATTGAATTTGCGTATTGATATCTAAGATATGGACTTTTTCTATAATTCTCCACGATCAAATTATTTGAATACTACATACCCATTCATCTAAATAACTTCAATTGTGATTGAACCACGTTATCAGTTTTACATCGAGGGGTTCGTTTTTTATTTGTTATCTAGAACTGATATTATAGCCAGGCGTATAAGATTTAAATATGCTCTGAAGAATTTCCAAATAGCAAATATCCACAGTTTTTTAAATATCATTACATAATGTTTTCATACCATTGAAAATATGTATTTCCCTTATAATATCAAATTAATCATGTGGGAGGAAAGATGAAAGTGGTTTAATAGAAGAAAGAAAGAAAGAGTCACAATAATAGATATATTGAACAAATTTTTTTAAAGAGAAAGTACTTGAAATAATTGCGTAACATGCAGGTCACAATCTTCTCCAGCATTAGTCAGGAAGCTGTACTGTCCTTATGGGACTGGGACCCGGTTGTACCGGGTATTCGAGACGACGATTTTCTTGGAAGGTAGTGGAAACTAAACGTATTAAAAGAAAAAAAAATGCGAAAAAACTGCTTTTGCCAGTTTAAGCATTAACCCTTAAATAGCACACCTCGGTGGCGCATCTTCGGATAGCACACTAATGCGATTTGGGGTTTCTCGTATTTGAGTCAGCATAACTTTCTTCGAAATTAATGATTCCGAATAACAATACCAGTTTTCGATCGAGTAATAAATATGAAAAATGAAGAAGAAAATAATATTTATTTATAACAAATTTCAACATAAATAGGCCTGTGCTGAAGTTTTTCTTTTTATTTGCTATTTTTTCGAGTCGAAATATTTATTTCAGTGAGAGATTCGATCTCTTATCTGTAATTAAGAATTAGAGGTTGAATTTTTTATAAATTTTACACGTATAATTACATTACAGCCAACCTCCTACATTTAACGTAAAAGTAACCGAACTTTCTATTTCTGACACCTTGAGGCGCAATGTAGGAGGTATATAAAACTTCTGATAAGCAGAAAAAAGGAAAAACGCATTTCTCGTAATTTACAATTAATTCTATTATGATAACTTAAATAACTGATGAGGTTAAAAAATGAAACGATGAGGTAGAATGTCGAAAATTCATAATGAGAGATGACTTTTTCAGTGTCTTTCTTAATTTTACAACACAACTGTTACCAACGACCACGCGAGCTTAGTGGTCTGAACGTACTTGTGTCGCCACTGTCGCCTGCATTCCCTTCATTCAGAGAGACGAGAAGTTACTTCGGTCCGAATTTGCACCAGGTGTGCCCTTCAAGGGTTAAACGGAATTCGGTGGAATGTTCATTTGTTTGCTTCTTTGTTCCGTTTGTCCGTGTGCCTTCCACATTAACAGTAAAATAGAAATTTCATATTTAGGGTACAGTCAACCAAAATTGGATTAGCGTGGAAAATTGAATCGCGAGGGTCCTTCAATCGTGCTTGATGAAAAACTCTGAAACTTTGTATCTTACCTCTATTTGATATGACGTACAAGCAGAAAATAAATGAACTCAATTCTGGTATTTTAAATCACACTTACAGCGTTTCCTCAATTCGAAAAACCTTGCAAATTCAAACATGAATACCGAACAACAATTAATATCTGAGTGATCTTTTTAAATTCATTAATATTTTTCGATTGAAAGTCTTATGAGGAACAAAATGAGGCTAGACTCATTTTAATTCGTCAAACTATTCAGAAATGATGGCCGAGTCCTTCGTACGTTTGTACCGCCATATGTAGGCGGATTATTAACCACTATTATGAACCACTTGGTTTTCCTTTGTACGAATGATCTATCAATTTACATAATGTTAAACGCTTAATTTCTAAAAAAGCAAATTTCAATACAAATAATAATAATTTTCTGAGTATATAGCATGATTGTCCGTGACGGAACGGGAGAAGTATACCATGTATTCAATCGAAAGTTTCCCAGCTAAATATCTCTAAAATAATGCATTTTCGATAAAAATTTGTTTGATTTTAGGAGGGAAGTAAGGTGATGCAATTGGTATGACCTTGGATGGCGATTCCAAGGTCACGATAAGATCACTTTGGTTTTTATAAATCAGACCACCTAGTTTTTATTGCATATTCTTATATGCGGCTCGTGTCGTGGCATTTTATTACAATATTTTATATAATATTATTATAATTCCGCGTACGGCACTGCCAATTGTTTAACTTTTTTGAGACTCATCTCTCATAAAAAGCTTTACTTGAAAAGTCTTGACGCTACCATTTTGAAAATGCCACGGCACGAGCTACAAGAATATGCAACAAAAAGTAGACGGTCTGTTTGAAAAAAAAACCAAAGTGATCTTATCGTGACCTTGGCGCCGCCATCCAAGGTCATACCAATCGCATCACCTTATTTCCTACTCAGAATCAAATAACTTTTGTCTTAAACATTTTTTTTCAACAATTCATTGTTTTACAGATATTTAGCTAAGAAGTTTTCAAATTAACACACCGTATATTTTTCGTTTCTTAATGGCCACAACTGTTATTACTATACATATAATTTAATCATGATTTCTTCAACGAGTTTTCGTTTGACTATTATGAGACTAATGTTATTGTTGTTGTTTTATATTTCCTTGCATGGCCCTATGGCTCAATACAAACCCATATTTGATACAGTTTCAAAGTAATGCTATTAATAACATTTAACAGTAGTTTTCTTTATAAAAGTAATATTAAAAGTAAAAATTAAATTATAATTTGTGATTTGTAAGGGTTTCTCTTCCATTACCAATTTTTTCATCAACTATTATCGCCTAATTTATTTAATATTTAACGGAGACCACTTTGTGTTGATCCATCGTCGCGACCTTAGTAGTCCATCTTATTAGACCAGTTTTAGTCCGGAGGAAAACCACAGGAGAATGAGCAATCTCATAAATTATTTAAACATTTCTAATTACGTAACAATCTCTTTTTCTGAAAAAGCACGTGTGAATGAAAAATTTTAATAAGATTTTATTTCTTTTGAATGGCGAAATATTACAAAAAACGGTTAAAACTTTATTGTCGATCGTCGGTCACTTTATTGACAGTTCAGTGTTTATCTGACAGTTCGCAAACAGTGCAATCCTTAGGAAATAACATGCAGCTTTCCATATGATAAAATATAATATATATTTCATACGCATGCATAATTTGTAAGGAAAACTTTATTGCTAATCGACATGTTACTTGGTAGGGACTTGATTGTTTTCGATCTGTCATAAAAACGCATTGAACTCATGAACCGACTATACATATATACAACATCCACAATAAATGGAAAACACCTGACTAACATGTGCAATATATGGTTATCACATGCCACGGAAAAATGTTGCATGGAGAGTGTCTGGTCTCACACCGCTTGGCCTCATTAGCTTTTGTAAAAAATTGGGACAAACAAACTGTAGTTAAGAAAGTGTAGCAGAAACTATGATTTGTTAAGTGAACAACGTTTGGGAATGCTTATATTTTTTATTTATTATTTTATTTACCTTCCTCCCTTTTTTTCTTCTTTAGTCACGACCGTTTAGAACGTCAAAGTCTTTCATACAGTAGAAAAGGATGTCGATACATTTTATACGTATGCCTCTATTAAATATTAGCATTTTTAATATTTCCAGCACATAAATATTATATGCTCAAAATATATTTTTATGACGGCATTGTGAAACACGGTCATGACTGATGACATATCGTTTTATCCTAATATTTTTATAATGGGGAGACTCTACCGAGCATTGCGTTATTGCAGGCTTACAGTCGCATATATCACTCGATTATCACGTGAATCAAAAACATTATACATGCTTTTAAACACCGTACACTCGGTATAGCGAATATGAATATAAAAAAAACCCAACTATAAACTTAAATATGTAAAATTAACTCTGACTGTCTGTATTAGCTGGACTGAAAGATCCCTGTGTAATGATTAACATAATGAAATTAAAATGTGAATGTTCACAGTACACAGGGTGTCTCATAACAACCCGTTCGAGCTTTTAAGGATGGATAGTGGAGGATATTTTTAATCAAAAGTTCCTCTTTTATTTTTTTTCTCAGATGGCTATTTACTTATTATATATAATAAGCTATAAATTATATAACTTATAATAATATATAATATTATATAACTATATATAATAGGCTATAAATTATTTTTAGAAAGGCCGATTAACTTCAGCTTTCCGATTCGGGTTCAAATTGCAGGAAGATGAGCTAGATCTGATAGCAAAGCTTCATGGATCCCTAGCCATGTTAATCGAAGTTAATCGGCCTTCCTAAAAATAACTTAATAACTATAAATAAAACATTATTTAATAACTAAAGAGAGATTCTTATACCGACTCCAACCCCTCTCCACCCTCTTACTTTTTCCCTAATAATTCTTAATCCAACCACATTACAATTTCATTAACGTCTATATTTTTTGTTATTTAAATTATTTGTTAAGCAGTTTTAGTTAATGATCTTATTTATTTATAAATTTGTTCTTAATAAACCTATTCATAAGCTATACACCGCGCACGTTGTTCCGAAATTCCCCGTGGTGCCCACGCGCTCTGTGATTGACCGACTTCATTTGTTCATAATTTGGTAAATAGTCATCGGGGAAAAAATTTATAGAGGAACTTTTGATTTGAAATATTCTCCACTATCAGCCCTTTAAAGCTCTAACGGGTGTTATTGGCCACCCTGTATAGGAACAAAAGAATGGCTAGAATCCAATTATATTAGCTATTCCCTTCGTATTTAACGAATCCCAAGATTTTTCTGTTGATATCATTCGCAATTAAGTGTCTAACATAAAATAACGTAAAGCATGTATTGTGAAGGTACTAATTAACCCAGAAGGTTAAAGGTGATTGTTGGAGAATGATATAACTAAAGAAGTGGTTTGTTGTGTGTGGTGGCAGTTTGTGGTGCAAGATGGTGTGGGCCATTGTAGCAGGGTGACCGCGCGGCTCTTTGACAAAGACAACACTGGTCAGGATGATCCTCTCGGCAGGTATTTTGTCCAAGACACAGCAATGCAGGCTATATGCGCAAATCACAGGGACACAAAGCAAACGTAGACAGCTAGTATCTTTCCTTGCCACAGCTACACATCCAGCCACACTATTATAGTTCTACCCTTGCAGTATCTACTATATGCAGATTATACCTTTAGGAAAAATATTTCCAATTCCAAAATTATTACTTTTGTACAGATTCCTATAGGTGTCCGAGACCTTTTGCATTGATACAAGAATTAATCACATTTTCATGTCTTTACGCGTAAGCATGGTTTACCGGTGAACGATATAGTTTCTATGAAGATATTCAAAAAAACCAAAGGGACAAACTTTAAAATGGCTGTTATGAATTTAAAAAAAAAAAGAGGATTGAGCATTGCTGATATTGTTGATCGATTTCATAACCATGAGAATCATTTTTTTGAATTTTCTGTATAACAACTCTTCCCGCATATACATAACATACATATATTTACAAGCTCTACAGTCACTTACATTATGCAATTTTTAAAGAGATAATTAAGGAATTAATTTCGAATTCGACTAAATCTATCCAGCGTGAAACGTGACTTGTATAAGGAAAAATTAGACAAAAACCTCTTTCATTTTTTATTTATTTTATATAAGAATAACTCTGACATTAACTAAGTTTATGAATGAAATTCGAGCGTTTTATGATTTTGATAGCTAATACATCCTTCGTAGATTCCTTAATGAAACTTATCGTTATTCATGGAAAAAGTAGCTTAGACATGAGTTTGGTTTTCCGCATGGCTATTGTATTGTCGGTTGTTCAATATATCAATCCCATTTTTGCCTAATTCATTAAAATGCAGCCTCTTTTGCCACAGAATGAGTAAGAATATTTATAGGTGGTTATGCCTATACGAACCCTATCGTTGCATCGCCATTGCATATCATATCAAAGTTATCAAATAAATGCTGAACGTAAAGTTACATATACATATGTGAAAGTAACGATGCAATTTTCTATTAATAAACAGAGCCACTATCGAAGTTAACCGTGTTAAGCTGAAGGGAACGATAGATACGGTGAGTTGCACCCGTTATTACTTCTTAACGTCGATGAACATTTTTTAACGAATTATGATTATGTTCATAGTGGGTCGCTCTGGAATTTGCAAAACATGGAATGGTCCACTTACGTCTGACTTGGCTTCAACTCACTAAAAATGTATCTGATTTATCGGCGGTACGTTGATGCTTTTATTTATTAATAAACGATTTTATTATAATAAAAAGTATCAGCTCTGAATTTTATTTGTAATATATATCTAATTACGACAGCAGTGTAACGATTCTTCTTTCAACTTTTTATTTATATGCTTCTTGAATAATTTACGGTTCTTATACAACTTTCATGTGTGTTTACAGGCTTTGAACGAAATTCATCAACTTCGAGTTACCTCGCTAAGCTCTGCGCTTTTGATTCTCTATATCGATTCAGCCAAAAATTTACCGGTGAGTTTCCAATCAAATTACTTACAAAAATTTTACTAGCGCGAATATTTATTTATCATTTATTCTGTACATGTGGTTAATATGTTTTACTTTAATCTCAATATGAACTGTAACAATACTATGAGAAAACGTCACGAATGACCATGGGCTGGCTCCTGGCTGGCTCAGCTACCCCACATACAGTTCATCATAGAACACAAATGCAACGAAAAACTACCCTTTCTAGATCAACATATCCTAATAGAAAACATGAGAATCCGTTGAAAATTCAAAAACAGTCAAATAATTTTAATCGAAATAAGGAATACCAAGTCTATTTTGTCTGGCGAACCTTTCTCTCGGTTTTGTACTTTTGGTTGACTCACTAACATTAATATAACACCTGACTGGCCAGCCATGCCACGCATGAACGCTACGAGATCCCACATAAGGGAAAACCTTTCCCAGGGACACCATTATCAGAATGCCTTGCAAGCCCTAAAGCAGCAAGCTGCGATGTTTGTAAAACGTTGACAAATTAAAACTTCCACACGCGGTTCCAAGGCGGAAGCCAATTGTAACCATATGAAAAATGGCCGCGGAAGCCTCAAAACTATAATATTTATGATTATTTTATTATAATTGTGAAATAACCTAGATAGTAACGTGCGTGGAAACATGTCAGCAACCGAGCAGCAAGGCCTTGTAATTATTATTGGCAAAATTATAGGAATAACTCTGAGTCGAAATATTTATCCTATTGATAGCAGCCTCGATGCACTATCTGCAAATAGGAGTTGGAGGTTAATTCTTGGGTGTATTTTACATTTATCAGACAACAATGTCCGATATAGTATAACAGAATAAATAGATATGCTATCATTATGTGTTTTGTTATCTGGGAAATTTATTTTTCGGGCCCATCCCTTCGAATATGGACTTTATCGTTTATAACCTGAAATTTCTATTACGTCGATTTCACCGCAGCCTTTCGTGACGAACCAGCCTACATTTTGATCATTTTTCATATATTGAACTCAATTCGTTGATCGTAAATTAAATTACAAACAGAAATCGAATTTACGGTATTGAATCATCACGATTGAAATATAATTAAGAAAACATTAAAAGCTATAGATAGAACTTAAATTACGGTAAATAAATAATCGGTTAAGAAAGTTCTTATGTAACGTATAGATTAAATTTATAATACAATTATTCCGGGAGTTGGGTATAAGTTTCAATGCACTGAGAGCTTCGCAAAAAACATGTAAATGTTATAAAATGGTACTTTTTGTTTAACACGATATTGTTTAAACTCTCAGTACATACGAAACTATACCCATGATCTACCGTAAATAAAGTAGAATACAAAATTAAATATATAGGCAGCTATTTATACTTGACACCTTAAGTACAATAATTATCAAAGAAATAAATAAATATAAATACGCATAGTTCCTACTTTATCGTAAGCCGAGCACCTTCTAAATTTCGAGAGTTTATATTATAACAAAAAATACTATATCCATTGTAATGTCTTCATTCAATAATATGATTAAAATTTATAACTGTCCAATTAGATTTGACTTACTGCAATATTACTTTTAGTGCCTCAAAGGAAATAAGCAACCCGACGTTTACTTAGAAGCTAGTGTCAGCAATCGTAGTAAGAGAACTACCACAATGCTGAGATCATGTGATCCCGTTTGGGAACAAGGTTTTACCTTTCTGGTGTCCAATCCCGAAAACGACACTTTGCAAATAAAGGTACTACAAGTATTTATTAATTTGTAAAACGCACGTAACATGCTTAACTAAATTTATAGATTCACGATGAAAAGACTAGCACAATTATTGGAGTAATGAGTTTCAATCTGTCTCTTCTTTTGGATAAAGAAAATCTAGAAATAATCCAACAGCCATACACTTTACAACACGCCAGTGAAGAGGCAAAATTGGTTCTATCAATGGCACTCAGAGTAAGTTCTCATAAATTTCGTGTGTTGTGTTTTGATCTGTATGAAATCGTTTTTGAAAGTTTTGTAATATTAAACCAGCAATGTAACCAACTATATCAATTTTTTCGTCTATCACATGGATTTGCTTTCTCTCACTGCAATGCAGCAACTGTTTCTTTTAATTGTTAGTAAAGTTTATATGACAGTACTATTAAACACTTTTACATGTTACTTTAGATCCTAAAATACGAGGAACCAGAAGCTACTTTCGAAGAGGATGAAGATGATCATGATATAAATGAATTAAATAAAAAGATTGAAAGACAAGAGTCAAACAACACGCCTTCGAGCAGCCGTGAGTTCTAGATATTACAGTTTGAGCACAATCGTTAAATGCATTGTTTGCCTACTTTTCATTATGATGTTATTACAGTACCTCCGAGTCCATTGAGAAAGCAATCATCAAAGGAATCAGTACACAGTATTGCTAGTAGTGCAATCTCTTCGTCTGCAGGTGGATTGATTGTAGCAGCCCCAGTTGCTGAGGAATCAATCGAAGAGACAATAACTCCTGATTCTGCAGCTCTCTCAATACAGACTACTCCTGGATTAATCCACAGGAATCTCAGTGTGACATCATCAGCTGGCGAAGCAAAACTCGGTAGAATTCAATTGACATTGCGCTACAGCGTGCCTAGACAAAAACTGATAGTTGTGGTCCATAAAGTCGCGTAAGTAAAACATTATTGTATTTGATACTTGTCAGGCGAGTAACCAGATCTATGTGGTATTGAAGTAATCTTATACAGCCCATTAACCCCTTGCACTATTCGGAACCTCGGGAAAAGTCAGGCCCAGCGCGGCTGCCTCGATTGTCGTGGTGGAAGGCGAGTGGTGGAGCGGGCGTGCCAAAACTTGATACCTATTCTTACGACCGAGCGCAAGGTAGTCGTGCCCGTATTTACTTCACGCGATGGAACTCTTGTGAAATTCAAATGAATTTGAATCAACAACTTTAAAAAAATACTTTAATTATTACATAAGATGAAAACAAATTCTGATTAATTATAATAATATAATTTGGTCCAAAACTAAGACCACGAGTCAGACTCGTAATATTCATGTTCGACCTGAAATGTCGAGTACGAGTCAAACTCGTGATATTCATGTTTGGTCTGGAACTGAACAACGAGTCAAACTCGTGACATCCATGTTTGGCCTAAAATTTTCATCACGAGTCAGACTCGTCAAAATAGTGCAAGGGGTTAAAATACATGTTTATAGTCATGCCGTAGTCAAAATAGAAGAAGCGCACGATATGACGCCTTTCGTTTTGCCAGAAAATCAGTGTCCAGAATCGTCATTTGCCAGAAACGGAAGCTGCCCGAGCGCCATTTGTGATCCTGTCACTTGCTACAGCAGAACGAGCCAGTAGGTATGGTCAAACAACTAGACGTAAGTTTCTGCTGTATGGACAACTGCCGCAACTAACAGGAACACAACTGGCATTTGTGCATCTACCGTTTCTGACAAATATTGATTCTGAACATTGATTTTCTGACTAATGAGAGCGACCCATAGAAACCTTAATTTTGGAAACATGATGCGTATGCACCTCATTCTAATTGACCAACGAGTCCTATCTGCTCGAGTAGGTGAAACGTTTGTTAAACTGAATCTTGAGAAAACATTGCTAGGACTTTGAGAGCCTTTAAAATTTACCATAAATCTTTTTTTTTCTATTATATTCAAGACAACTTATTAAGTAATATTTTTCATGGCATCTTCACTTAAGTATTGTACACATTTTAATCATTTTAAAACTTATTTATGTTAACAGCAATTTACCACTTCCTCAAAATGACCCAAGCAACATACCAGATCCATACGTGAAGCTTTATCTTCTGCCTGATAAGCATAAAGAAACAAAAAGGAAAACTGCTGTAATGAAAGATAACTGCAGTCCAGTGTTCGACGAGCAATTTGATTATGTGATTTCGCAGGCCGATCTAGAAACTCGTACACTTGAAATATCAGTTTGCACACAAAAGGGTTGGCTGTCTACTGGCAGTAACGTTATGGGACAAGTACATATGACATTTGCGGATATGGACTTGACCCAACCGTTAACTAGCTGGTATGATTTGATGCCAGAAAGCAAGGACTAAAGCGAAAGGAAATATGATGATAATGATGAAATTTATAAATTCTCAATCTAATTTAAACGCATGAACTTTTTTCAGTTTATTTTGATGATTTATACACAGTGGATGACATAGATTTGGGTAAACATATATAGATGCGTACCATTAGAACTCGATTAGATAAATAGACGTCAACTTGTATACCACCCAGTCGAAAAACAGTTCCTTTCAAGGTTTGAATAAGTTCTAATCATGTTTGTAAGGTATTCTTACCGACCGATATTTATAGGTAGTAGTATTGCTTATCGAATATGTATTAATACGCGTAAACGATTACAATTGTTTTCATTAACATCGATTTGCATCGAAAAGTGTCAAGCAAAATTATTTAAGTCATGCAAATTCGTAGTCTGATTTTAACAGGTATCAACTTTGTTTATATTTCCTAAAATGGTTGAACTAATAGCTGCTCTCTTTGGAAACAATTATTTGACACTAATTACATGGAATATCAAATAATTCAATCGCAACATTAATTATATATGTAATTGACTTTATATATTGTTTGCAATCACAGTTTGTTTATAACCTAGTAAGAAATGTTGTTGTTGCAAAAATGTATCGAAGTTTGCAAACTTTTCTCGTTTTAGATCTCTTTTTTTTGTGATGAAACACTTATTCACCATTTTACAGAACAGGAACTTTCTTTTCTGTTTAATGAATCCTCTCTAAATTATATATTTTTTATTCTTGATTTTTCTATCAGTCAGTGATAGTTAAAGTATAATCCGCCCAAAAATGAACACTTAGTCAATCGGTATAATGTGAATATGGCAATATTCAAAATTAAAGCATGCAAGATGATTATGAAGAAATATGTGCGTTACATTTGATGGAGATAGTTATAGCGGAACCAGAAAAAGGAAAGCATGACTTCCACTTATGATATTGTATGTATATTATTTTCATAAAAATATACAATGCAACGTACATAATATGTTGCATTCTACTACTAATAGTTTTTCATTTGCTATCTTCTGATATAGCAGAAACAAAGTAACCATAAGTTAATGTGAAGAGATATCATTCATATTTGAAACGATTTACAGCATTTAAAAATCTCATTTTGTTACTTTATTTTAGTACATTTATTTTTGTTGTATTACAACCACGCTTAATTTACTTAATATCTTATTTATCTACAGCTGGACATTAATACAAAGCGATGAGCGTTAATCATTGTTAGTGCCGGCTTCACTGCGATTTGTAAATGAGTTAACGTCATCTATAAAGCATGGCTGATATGTTGATCCTAATATATATATATATATATATACACACACACATACACTAAAAATACTAATCATGATACATATACGTTAGTTATATTTATATAAAATTGTTTTATTGTATCATGTGTACTGTACCATACTATTCTTTACACTATTGTACATACAGTGATACAATTTTGGCTAACGAATAAAGATAACTTGCAGTTGCAACTTGGGTTCAAAATCCTTTGTACCTTAAAATAATTAACTTTTCTAAGGATGTATCGTTGAGAACAAAATCTTTAAGCAGAACATCATACCGTGACAGCTGAAATTAAAAATGTTCCACGTATCTTACAATTGTCTTTCTTAGTTGAATCGATATGTTTAAATGTTTCCGCCACAATATCGAGTTTTCTCGTGTATTAACACTCGTTGATCAAACAATTCGAATCGATATGTGACAGCACATGGTTACGCAGGTAAAATGGCGTCAACCGTCCCCTGTGTTGCTGGTATGTGATTTCTCATCGTTTCTACTACAATTGTGTTTTAATTTTACTATCGCAACTGTTTAAGCTTTTTTACCCAAGGAAAACCGGTTTTGAAGGTTCCAACGATTACTATGTGATGAGAAAAAAAATATTTCAAATTTATTCTATATTTTTCCAAGCAAAAATGTGTCATACGTATGTCATCATGCCGGAAAATTGTTATTCCTATACAGCTACTGCCAGTATTTCAAATTTTGAAAACCTGTAAATATCTCGATACTGACATTTACTTTGCAATCATAATTCTTTGTTCCTTGTTTTTCAGTTTATAAGAACAGTCGTAAAGTATGAAAATCATTCATTCTTGTCGGCGTGGCAAACTAACCTATATTACGACCAAAGAGTATTTTAATAAAAAAATATCGACATCTTATCATGCAATTATCAAAGTAAAATTGACCTTTAAAATTTACCATTGGTATAATATGTCTGCATTGACAACTACATTTAATACATAAAAAATTACTTTGATAAGTTTTATTGAGAAAGGAACACTTTTTTTTTAATGATTCAAATGTTTGAAATAGTATTTTTAGTTCTTAGGTAGAACTTGATAAAAAAAATAATATTGGTACTATTCTTACTTTGTTATGATTTATATATTTTTGCTTTTATATTTGTGAGGTTATGTATCTATGAACTACAAATACTGAATCTCAAGACTATTATTTTATTATCGTAAGCATTAATGTTGTTTGTTATGTTCTTAATATCGTTACAGTTTTCACATATTTTATATCAAATTATATAAGGCATTATTTAATTTGAATATAGTGATTATCGTTTTTTTATAGATGAATAATATGTAGACATTTATAGGAAACTACCTAATACAAAATGCAATAGGAAAAGTAAAGACTACTGATATTTTGTACAGCTGATTCAGCTATGAAAATAATAATAAATTACTTACATTTAATGTATGTTGATCAAGTAAACATATTATTCTTTGCTATTTATATGATTTTCATATGGAATCACAATGCTAAAATTTCAATCACATGGAAATCGTATGCTAAAATAATAAATATATTTTTAAGTTAAAAACATGTATATGCATATTTTGTAACAAAAATCATGCAAAGATATATGTGGTTTCTTAGAGACTTTATTGTTTTTGATACGTTAAAAAAACATTGAACTCGTGGACCGAGTGTATAATCTCTGTAACAAAATTTTAGTACGAGGATCCACTGGTATCAGCTTGAGTCAGGGACCACCGACTTACGAGTCGGTTGCCGCCTTTCCCAAAGATGATAGCAAATCATGTAAGGCTATGCAGTTTAGTCCTGAAGGAAGGTACTTCGCCTGGTGCAATGGTCAAGTCTTAAAAATAATCCTATGTGAGACCTGGAAGATCATTGCTGAAATTAAAAGGCCAAAGATTTGGTCTTTCCAATTCTCTAAACTTGGCAATTATCTTATTACCTGGGAACAATTCATTGGTAATATGTATAATAATTAAGATATTCCATAATTACATATAGACTTTAATATTATTTAATTTTTTCTTATTTTTGTATGATTATATTTTACATGACTTTTAAATACCTTCTCAGGTGTCTTTGTTACATGCTAAAATTCTTATATATATATTATTTTAGCAACTCCAGCTAATCCTCAAGGCAGCCCGAACCTGCATATATGGAAATCAGAGAATGGTGAACTTGTCAAAAGTTTCATCCACAAGAAACAAACAGACTGGTAATGGTTGAAATTTTTCAACATTATGCTCGATTGTCTGCCTATCTCAAGACTAGTGAATGCGTAGTACTACTAACATTCGTACCACATATATGTACATTTAAAATAATCAGCCAAAGTGCAAATGAGTAGACAAAACGTTCGAGCGAGTATACATATATGCTAATAATAATTTTATTATAAATTAAAACAATAACATCTAATTGCTGACTTAATTTTTCTTCAGGGAGCCCCAATGGTCAAATGATGAGAAAATTTGCGGTATGCTAATAAACAGTGATGTAGTCTTTTACGAGGATGCCAATTTTGATAAGATCGTCCACAAGATACACGTGGCGAAAGTTGCAAAGTTTAGCATTTCACCAAACCCTGCGCCATACCATATTTTATGTTATATGCCAGGTACGGAATCATCTTACTAAATTATATATTTTCCTAAATCTTAATACGCGATTCGAATTCAATTTTAGGGAAATCCGGCCAACCTTCCTTTGGAAGACTTTTCCAGTATCCTAAATTTGAATCAACTCAATCTCTGGCGAACAAAAGTTTCTTCCAAGTAATTTTATGTTTATAACTTTATTTAATGAAGATCAACATTTTGTCAAGCGCAATGTCCTTAGTATAGTTTCTTCTTTATATTTCAGGCCGATCGAGTGGACATCTATTGGAATCAACGAGGAACCAGTGTCCTTCTTATGACCAGCACTGAAGTGGACAAAACTGGTGCTTCCTACTATGGCAAACAAACTCTGCATTATCTTGGAACGAAGGGCGAGACTGCTATGGTTATGCTTAGTAAGTAAACTATATATTCACTAAAGGATTGTATGGAAATGCTTATATATTTTCCCTGCTTTCTCTACGAAAAACGAGCAAAAACAAACAAGTGCTTTGACAACATAAGAAATTCACATGTGGACACTCGGAACAATAAAATGAGATTGCATTTATAATTAACTGTTAGAATATATTGTCAAGATTTTTTTACAACTATTATTTTAGGTAAAGAAGGTCCTATTCATGCCGTCGAATGGTCACCGAAGCAAACTGAATTTTGCGTAATATATGGTCTGATGCCGTCCAAAGCAACGCTGTTTAATCTTAAATGTGAACCGATCTTCGAATTCGGAGCAAAGCATCGAAACAGCATTTATTACAATCCACAAGGGAACAATATCCTTTTTTATACTTCTATTAATTAGTTAAATAATTTCGAACTTATCATTCCTTAAGTCAATTGTGCACTTCTTCTTTTGACCGGGTTTGGAAACTTGAGCGGTGGTTCCGTCGAATTGTGGGATACAGTAAATAGAAAGATTATCGCAAAGACGGAAGCACCGGACACCACGTTACTTCAGTGGTCACCGGACGGTGAACATTTTCTCACTGCCACAACAGCACCCAGACTTCGAGTGGGTAACGGGTAAGACATTGTATTATTTATTATTGAAATCTCATTTCGCACGTAGTATGTCAATTTTTATTGTCGACTAGTTTCAAAATCTGGCATTATACTGGAACTTTACTGTATGAGAGACCGTGGAATAAGCAAGAAGAATTGTGGGAAGTGCAATGGCAGACTTACCCAGCAAATACATTTCCCGAGAAAGCCATCAGTTACAAAGCTGTAGAGGGTATAGCGCCTAGTCAACCACAGGGTAATTTAGTTATATTAATTTTTAGAATTTCACAAAAAGTTAGTGCAGTATTTTAAATTATGCAAAAAGTGACTTTAGGTGTATTCTAAATCTATAGCTCTTTTAGCAAAGTTCTGGTATTATAATGACACATATGTTTTAGCATCAAAGCAAGCGTACCGCCCACCTTCGGCGCGAGGACAAACCATTACTTTCAAATTACACGATGATGAAGACTATGGATCAAAATCATCAGACAGTAAGTAGAAAATTAAATAATTAATCAAGTTTTTATCAAGAAAAATTTTATTACTTTTGTTTTGAGTTATTTTTTATTTTTTAGAAGCAATAAAAAAATGTACTAAGAATTCTGTAATCTCAAAAAACAATAAGCAAACGTATCAACTGAAATTGGCACTGAGTGGGTGGTTTCATGAATCAGAGCAGGGTGGCATCATTAAAGAAATGAAATTTAAAGTCATAACAATTCTAAGATCATGAATTTCACATTCTTTCATTTGTTTAACAAGGCCACACTGCCTCAATTAACAAAATTGTTCAAACGCGTCCAACTTCAGTTGACGCGCTTACCATGAATAACCCTGTATAATAGACATTAATTTTAGAAAAGAATAGATGCCAATATAAAGGCTTTTTGTAATCTAAAAGTTAGTTCCATATCATCGTTACATTTTATAAATATACAGCGAATCCATCGAAAGCGGCGCTGAAGTCCAAAAAGAAACGCGAAGCAAAAAAGGCTAAGAAAGAATCGGAAGGAGTTACTTCACAAAACTCAAGTACACCCAATGGTCAAGTCAGCCCGACACCCACTAAATCTCCAAACACTACTGCCACGACTAATCTAGACTTAACTGGCGATCCGGAGAAAGATAAGAAAATTAAAAAAATAAAAAGCGTAAGTATTTTAGCTTCTTGATTATCGTGTTATAGAAACTTAAGATAAGAAACGTTTTGTTTTTAATCAACAGAAATTGGAGCAAATAGCAAAGCTCAAAGAATTACAGTCATCTGGCAAGCAATTAGAAATAAATCAACTGGACAAGATTAAAAAAGAAGCCGAATTGACGAAAGAATTGCAAAATTTAGTTTTGTGATGGAATGAGTAGAAAGTTGAGAAGAAGAACCATGTGGACTTCCCGACTTGCTGGACGAATCTGAATTGCGAAAACGCTCCATCTTGTGGTAGCTCAATCGAATTTAAAAATTGAATGAAAATATTGAAGAATACGATGTTCAAATTTCAATGAGTTTTATACGTTGGAGCCAATTATTTGAAGATTTTTCGTATTTTGTAAAATTTAGCGACTTTCAATATCGGTTTGAAAATCGAACTGCAATTACGAAGAACGCAACGCGTTCGTTAAAAATGGGTGCTATGACGAATAGAAGAATAATTTCTAACACTTTTCTCTTGTGAGAATATGAAGTTAACTAAACAAGAAATTAATTATTTCCTGTCCTATCCGCAATGCTCGGACGACTTCGGTTGATGGGAGAGGACGTTCAATTCTTTTAATTTTTATTGCCTTATTGCTCACTTCTCCTAAAACTGAATTTTTGTCGAAATCTTGACTTACATGTCTAAATGTATACGGTGAATGTATCGATCATACAATATACACTTAGACTATACCTAAGATACATATGTATATATACATCTAGCACGTCACATAAGTCGTATTTATACGCAATAGGCGATTGATTTTTGACCTTGACGGGATAGAAAGTACATTAACATTTAATTTCTTAAATAAGAGATATTGTCTCTCTAATAACGTATTAGAAATTTTATTAGAATCACTGGAATAATATGGATATAATTTTCACACTTTACACAGTAAGTTAAAACATTAAATCGTGAAAACCCTTTTTATTAAGACCTAACATTGTTTGCTAAACATTTCAAATGACAGAAGATATATGTTCTAGAAGTGAAAGTAATTTTTTATACACTTTATTGTCTCTAATTTTTTAAATTAAGTTAGCCATTCAATCGATGAGTCGTCAGTGTACGTATATGATAAACAGAGCTTAGTCGCTGTCAATAAATAATATCCTTAAAATTATAAGTGTAAATTTCAAGCGTCAGATTTTCTCATCTATCTGATGTAGCATCATACCCAACATGACGAAACTACTATTTTGAAAGGAAACAAGTTTTATCTTAGTGATGTTCTATTGTTCCTTTCAGTATTGATAAAAGTGTCGTCCCGTTTTATCTACAAATACGAATTTCGGCGAAAATAATTCAGAACATCGTATCGAAAATGTAGCCCTACCTCTTTGAAAGAAAGGAAAAGCAATTAAAAAGAATGCCTAAAAAAGCTCATCGATACGACACAAACTTATTTCAACGTGAACTATTACTTTAAGACAGCTGAAATACCTAAAATGTTATGTACAGTTCAATGAAGTGTGTGGAAATAAATTATTAAGACTCATTATTGTTACCAAACCTTACAGCTGCGTACCTAACGTATGAAACGAAAATGTAATAATGTTCAATGATCATAGTCTCAACAATCAGTAATAGTAAAGAAATGGGAAATAATCCGGAATAGACGAATCCACAAGATTCCATTAATGAAGACAAATAAATAAAAAATTGTATCATCGAAAGGGATTATGAGGAAGGTCATGATAATAAGTGGTGGGAAAAGATTTTCAAGTGTGTAATGTGCAATGGTTCATCAATGTATTACGATATGGGTGTCGATGGCTACGTTCTTGTGTGCACTGTAACGTTTGTCGATAGTTCAATTTCGTACACTCCTTATGAGTATACAAAATGGAATGTTGGTAAGTGTTCAGGGCTGGCGCCTTTAAGAACTTAGGCGACACAGGATTAAATGGTAAAATAAAATAATAAAAATTTATTAAATTATCGGTGACAGATGCAACAGTTTTCAATGTGCGTCAATTACAATAGTCTCTAATATAAACGTCGGTATAGTAGGAAAGGATTGTCAGGGAAACGGCCTATATTTGTTTATTCCTATTTCTTTCTGACCTGTCATTGAGGAACAGAGAATTCGCCTGTTTAGTTCGGTAGCCCTAGAGGCGCTCTGCCTATCTATTGGCTATGGCACTCCGTACGAATTGACTAATCACGGCGAGGATAACAGATCAAAATCAATATGGCGTCAACTAAAGTGTCTGAGGTAGATCGTAGTGCTCTCCTCATAAATTTGACAATACTTCTCTACAAGACAGGCTAGGTGGAATAGCGAGCGCTAGTATGCCGTAGCCTCTGACAAAATTATGAACGATGATTTTATGTAATTGATATGCTCTATCCTAGAGGGCATAAATCGAGCTCTAACGCTTTATATTGATTTTAATCTGCGTTACCCTTTCGGATTTAAATCACGCTCAATTTATTGTTACTCACGTTGCTGTACATTTCGAATTCTGAAGTTTTGAATATCTAAATTGATTTGAAACACGTTACGTAACTAAATAAAATCCTAGATTGATTAGCGAGAAGCGTTAATCCTCTATCGGATTATTTTTCTATTATATTCCGCGGATTTACTTTCGGGAGCTGTTTTTCATCTATCGGCTATTGTTAACACTAGCCGCGCGTCCTTACTGTTTACTTGTAACGAGTGCGCTCTCAGTACAGGAGTACTGAGATGTTGATAGATTTGTCACGTTACAGTACATATGACGCCTTGCGGAATTAGACGAGAAATGACTAATTTAGGGCATATTCCGTAATTGACCACGGTTGTGATTCTTTAATTTCAGCCAATTGCATCGATTGATATCGACTGCTGACAAAAATCAATCGATGTCATTGGCTGAAATTTAATGGCTACACTGTGGTTGAATTACGGAATATAATCTTACATAGGTATAGAAATAAAGGGACCGAGCATAGCATTATGGGTTGAAAGCTGTTTAGAGGGGGGTGCTCAGGTAAACTATGTTTACTTTTCGATTGGTTATTATTTGAAGCAAGCGCAGTAATGTAAGTGTTATGTGATATTAGGTCTATTTGTTTCCTTATGCGTATTAGTGAAACTCTTTTTCACAGAGAATTATGCAAATACTTTTTGTAATAGTGAAACATGCTACAGTTCTATGTACAGTCATAAGAAAAAAAAACTATTTTCGTGTAATTATTCATCAATATTGAATATACAATTTAAAATACAGCTACTACCTTGTAACTAATAATTTGGATCTTGATACAAGCTTTAATAAACTACTTTAAATGCCTTTTACTATCGTAACATTGTTTCTTACGCATAGATAAAATTATAAATAACAGTGTTCAATCTCTTTTATAATTGGCGGTACTTAGCATATGCACAAGCAGAGTCATTGAAACTGACGCGCAGTCAACTCGAATTTGATTTAATGTGCGGCAGACTCGCCCCCCCCTAATTTTGGTTTTACTCCCCTCTTTCAAAATGCTCAAAACTCTAATTTATGCTCGGTCTCTATATTTTATGCTGATTTATCGAAAGAGTGAGTTTATATGAATGATTATCATTTGTTTGACAAAAGTAAAATAAAAATGATGCAGTTAGGTGTATGAGAAAACAGTCATGTGCGGAAAAAACACATAAGGAAATCACGTCAAGAAGTCCGGACAAATGAGAAAAACAGTGAATCACTGTTCTTCTTCTTCTTCTTTCCTGATGCCCAATTATATCTCCATAGGGAGTAATTACTAGTATAAGTGAATCACAATGAATTGTTTAAAAATATGTGTAAGTGAAGTTTACTGCGAACAAAGCCTGAAAGTGGCGCTAAAATCAACTGACGATACTCGAACGAGTAGTTGATGGCGCTAGTGTTACTTGAGTAGGAAACTTATGCATCTTCCTTCGGCGTGTCCCTTGGTGGGGGATTTCCCGAACGCAGCGCCCTCCTAGTCGTGTTTACAGATTTGCAGTGAGTTCGTAACGTCACGTCAAAACTGCACCACGAATTTCTACTACGATTTACTATGCAAAGGTGCGTTTTTTGTTGACCGGTGCAACGCGGCATTTATGGAACATTGCATATCAATCCTTGTTCTATTTAGAAAGAATTTCGAGCGGGATAGCGTGATTTTCCAGTCTTTACTTAGCTTGGCAGTACCAATCGTTAGGATCGTCGCCATTTTGTCCGGAACAGGCCCGGTCTGGCGCACCGACCGAAAAATAGCCGCAAGTTCCATAAACATCGCCCGAATTTAAGCAAATCTCTCGCCAAAATCTTTTGCCTTTCTACGACGGTTATCTGGATATGTTGATGTGACTATCGAAGGATTCCTCCTATGACAAGAGCAGCGGTTATCGCGACGGGGTGTGTGGTTCGTGGATTCCCAGACTATTCGATCGACAGGTGCGGACGTTCCAATTTTCAAGCTCTGCCACTAAGGATTCCTTCGATTTCCAAGGTTATTTTGTTCTAAGCTAAAGCCATAACGGATTTATCAATATCATCAAATTTTATTAATATTTCGGTCTTTTCTTTTCTTCTGCTTTACTCCATAATAATCGTTCGAATTCCTCTTTTCGAACCTTTGTCTATTCATTCTTTGATATTACTTTGATTCTCGATTTTTCTACAAAACTGTTTATTAATCTTCATGAATTCCAGCGTGTAACAAAGATGTTGAGAAATGTTCACCTAATTTCGTCGTATTCATGGAATTATCTTCCTTGGAGTCTAATGTCAAAGTTACCATGTATATATTCCCACTGCTTGAATGTCAAAATCATTTTCAGTACTTCATTGAGATTTCTGATTTATATTGCCTAGGAATGCATTGCATTTACATTCTTTTGCATAATAATAGTGAATTCTATTAATAATAGTGTTTAAATATTTGTTGTATTTATTTCATATAGTCTATCACAATCATTAAAATATTTGTTATTTATACTAAAAGCTCGATTGTACAATGATTATCTTTTATGTATCATGCAATTAAAAAGCCAAGAAGGATTGTTTTATGGCATGTCTTGTCTTAAGGAATTTTATGAGTTTTGGTATTAGTAGAACATGTAACGAAATGCCTATACTGAAAATTTTTGTTTTATTATACATTTTTTACTTTAGCTTTTTTATTGAAATTAATGTTATTAAGAAGGCAATATTAGTTATTTATATAATACTGTTATGGCATCATTTTACTGTTTAAAACTATTTATACTGTTATTAGATTCTTTCTCTACAAAGAAATATCGTTGTACAAAACTGAGTGTTTTGAATATTTTTATTTATTTGAGGAATAGAATAATAAATATATCCACAGGTATAGTTATATCTTGTTTTTCTGTAATACTACATAGTTTCAATAATAATATCTTGAATTAAAAAAATTTGTATGTAATATTCATGTATATATATATATGTTAGATTTGAAAATAATAAGTTCATGCTGTGATGCTTTCTATATTATATATTGGACGTAAATATAAAAATTAATAAGCTTTATTAAAAAAACGTTTAGATCTAGATAATATAAATCACTTTTATTTATATATGTTGAGCAACTATATTTTATCTTAGGGAATAACATACAAATACTATTTCTACAATATATTTTCAGTCAATTTATAATTACTTTAGAAGTTCAATGTATTTTTTTTCACAGTTTGCAAAGAATGTAATGCTTAGCAAATGTAATGCTTAGCTTGTGCCTTCTCACAAAACCATAGAATATATACTAAAATGTAAAAATAAAATAAATGTCAGTGTAATGCCATGCATGTACGTACTTTGTAACAAAAATTGCATGCAAAGTATAATTTTATATTTTGTATTAAATTTGCTCTGAGTTGATAATATTAGTAATTCATAAAGGCAAGAATAATACATTAATTTTCAAAGAATAATATTTAATTTTTGCATATTTTGTTTGTTGCAGATAATGTAGATATAAGTTAGTGGAACCAGGCCTTTAGGATATAATTGTATTTAATGCCAGTGAATGTGCTGGATACTTGTCATAACGCTACTGAAACTAGAACAGGAGATTTTGAGACAGTTGGAGAATAGAAGAGGTGCGCCAGAATGACGATTGCTACTAGGGGCCAGGGAGTTGGCATAGATCCTCCCGAGAGCCAACAAAATACTCAGGTATTTAAAAAAAAATGTTCACAAACAACAATTTTAATTGGAACTGCATATTTCTTGGTCCAATTAGAATATTGAAATTACAAAAATATGATTATAATGTTCTGGGCAACTTGTCCATATATCAAGAAATATCACATGCATATTATTTTCAATATTTACATTACACCTTATACTTTGTCACGAGTTTTCTCTTTTTTTTTTATCCCTTCACTTCATTATTTTTTTATATTGCGTAAGTGAAAACAAAAGAGCGGATAAACATAGTATTTTGAGCAAACATATGCCCTTTTGCTTTTCATTACGAGATATATAGGTAGATATAATTTAGTTCATGAATGATATACAGGGTTATTTAAAACAAATGCACCGATTGGTGGTTCTATCATAAAAATGAAATAGGCTAATTTCATGTTATTCATTTGGCCAGAATAACCCTGTATAGTTATAATAAATATACTTGTTAACAGTTTCTGGTATTAAAGGACAATTAAAATTATTTGGTAAAAAGTATAATCAAGAATGTTCCTACATAAAAAAATATTGAATTTATTACCAAACTACATATTGGATCTATATTATGATACAAGTTCATTCATTATAAAATAATTAATTTTTTTCCATATATTTATTTTTTTGTTTTTTTATTTCTCACTGATACTTATTTTGTACAAAGCTCTTTATTCTGTGTGAGCTCTATTTTATCTTGAGCAAAAGTGACCATGTAAATACATGTGCAAAATAGAAAAAAATAGTAAAAAACTTTTTAAAATATTCTAAAAAGATTAATTAAAGCTCATTTGTAAAACTGCATTTGATAGTATTTATTATCTATTGTTTCATAAAATAAGAAACAAATTCTACTGACATAGCCCATTTTGCAAAACTTGTAATACTCTTATAATATGCTTTAGACATATACATAGAATATAGTAACAAATATGTCATAGTGTATTTGCTATACATTAATTTTGTTTGTGACTTTATATTGTTGCTACACCTTCCGTAATTGAACTATGCTTTAAACTTTAAGTGTTGATCTGCCGAAAATTCTAATACACTGTAATAAATTGGTACATATCATTTTTTTTTTATAGATACATAGTCCGGCAGGACCACAGCAGTTAGCGGATACGATGTCGGGGTTACAATTGACGGAAAACGTGGTACAAACAGAGTGCACAGAGGGGTCAAATTCGGAAGAGAGTAACCATATTCATCTCCATCAGCAGCAACAGCCACAGCAGCAACAACAACAACACGGAGAACCAGATTTTCCGCATGCAAAGTTGGCTGTGCTTGACGAGAAGATTTCAAGCCCGCGCTGGATCGTCCCCGTCCTTCCTGAACAGGAACTTGAGTGTCTGCTACAGGCTAGCATCGATCTCTGTAGAAAAGGTAGTTTATCTATCAGTATATTGAAAAGGAAACAATTATGAAAACATTGATGGTGAAAAGAGGCATTTTATTCAAGTTTCGGTTGATAACAACCAGAGAGAAACATTTCCTTGAGCCGATGTATTTAAAAAATTAGAAAAATGAGTGTTGAGAGTATATACAGTTACTACAATTGAAGTTAAATACAAGTTAAATAAATCTTGTTCGAGAGTTACAGAGTATGAGAATATTAATACTTTTATTATTTATCATTATTTTGCCAGTCATTTTTGGGACAAGAGTTTACTATTTACCTAGAATTTTAGGACTCCCAATTGATTATGCGATTTTCTTCGTTAACTAAGTGGTTAAGAATAATTTAACCAATATGTAAAATTTCTGAAATTGAGCGAAATTTAAGTTAGGCAGGGAGCCAAGTTACACGTTGAGTTATCTATAAACACGAATAAATTGCTGGGTTTTCAAGGCCCTCCATAAAAACACGAAAAACCTACGACAAACAAAATCATCAATTACTTACGTGGTTCCTCTTTGAGTAAAAATATTAATATTTCAGGACTCGATGTACAGAGCGAAGCATGTCAACGGTTTTTTCGGGAAGGCCTCACAATATCCTTTACGAAGATATTGACGGATGATGCTGTCAACAGTTGGAAGTTCAACATCCACAATTGCATAAATGCCAATTGCGAACGACTCGTTGAGCTCTGCGTACTCAAACTGCACGATGACTGGTTTCCTTTGCTTGATCTCCTTGCTATGGTTTTCAATCCGAATAACAAGTACGTTTATATTGATAATATTCTGCAAATTATATTTTACGTTATCACTCTGCGTATCGATACTTATTATTGACAATGAATTCTGACTAATTTTTTCATTGAGAAATGTAAAGTTTGAGAAATAATTACTTTAATGTCAATGAATTATTCCAATTTATGTGAAAATTAAATTGATATATTAATTTTGTAATCATATTATGTCGTAATATCCATTTTTGAGAATAACGTCGTATCTTATAATAAAGCTATTATGAATTATGGAAATTTCTACAGCGGTCCTTTATGAAACTTCTTCTTGATAAAGCTTTTTTGCCAGAACATGTTTCAGTATAAGAAATCGTCAAGTGAAACATAATTTTCTACTACAGCTTACAGCTTTAAATCCTTGAATATGAACGTGTACAATTTCTATAAAAAATAATTGTAACTTCGTAGTTATATATCTGATATTAGAGCTGTGAATTTCCCGGTTCTTATAGATTTCACACATTTAACGCGACAAAGGTATCTGAGACGGTGCCTCCAGGTAGTAATATTCCCGATGAAGAACTTTATGCCAGACCACCACCAGATTCCAGAAGTCCTCGAGGATGGCTGGTGGATCTTATTAACAGGTAATTCCTTTTCTTGATTTCTTTAATATACTAGATGTCTTTAATACACATATTTATAATCGGTATAAGCGCATGAAACTGTCATTTGCATTTGCAATTGCAAAAAAGAAATAGGGATATGCATCCGCGCATACATATACATTTACAACCAAAATTCCACAGAAATCATTAAATCGCTATGAATTGAAATATATGGAAGAATCAAGTCTCGGATATAACCAAATAACAAAATAATATTTGTAAACGTTCATAAAACGTTTCTGGTATTACACGACTGCATTTAATATATATATATATATATATATATATATATATATATATTATTAACAACTACAGTTTTGTATCAAGATTTATGATATTGCTGTCGATATTCGTTCTATAAATCGAAAATTAATTTCATTTAGAACTAAGATACTTTATGCGCATATTCATTTCAGTATCTGATAGATATTTTTATACATTCTTAACAGATAAATCATACCTAGTACTCTAGATTAGCTAAAACTTATCGTTGATTCGTATTAGAGAAATGATATAGTTTAATGCAGTGCTATCCTTTGATAAATATTTAAGCCCAATACTACAAATACCATACTTCAGAAATAGACTTTCAGACATTTTTTATTATCAGCTGTTTCGTTCATAGGCTAATTGTATCGATTTTTACAATTTTTCAAATATTTTACTATATTTAAAAATTTAGCAAAATAAGATTATAAAAAAGTTTTCATAATTAAATTTGAACACAGTCTGCTCAGAAAATGACAAAAATTTACTTTAAATTTTGTTTTTTTTTGCAGGTTTGGGAGTCTGAACGGCTTCGAGATTTTACTCTCGAGATTTCAGAGCGGACGCAATCTAACAGTGCCAGTTATTTACGCGTTGCTCAGACCCTTTGGATTGTGCTATGAGTACTTGACCGTTCACACGATAGTCAAGTACCTTATGTCGATAGTGGTAAGAAACATAAATTTAATTATTCATGCCTTAGTATTGTTTGAGTATGCGTGATTTACTTTTCTAATAATAAAAATAAGTGCATACTTAGTTTATTCAGAGTCAGCGGAATAGAGTGGTTACATGAATGCAATAGTCGTTGCTCGAAAATCATCTTAGGACATATATTGATTGACAGAGATTAACTAGTTATTTGATAGAGAAAAAATCATTCCTTTTTTTAGCATATGTTTCAGACTAAAACATTGCAAATCGTACACTATAATACATATATGTAATAATCCATGACCTCTTAGAATTTTTATTGATTTACTATGTAAAAAAAAATTCTATTTCCCGATGTCCCATCTATCCAACCCCATTTTAAAATGTCTGACTTTCATCTGTCCTAAGTTTTTTGTTGTTCTTATACTGCACTACTATTCAAAATAGTAATCAGTATGTTGTTTGGTTGCATTTACTGGTAATTTGAAGATTTGACGTTTCAAGGATATATTTTTTTTTTCATTTTAATATTGTCCTAAACATTATACTAACAGTCGTATCAGAAGACAGGACTTCAAGGTATTGGATAATTTAGCGTCGTATACTTAAAGGTTATTAAGATATGGGTTGTGCTGAAGTGCTACTTCCTGATACTTCTTCAACTATTTACGAATATTTTAAGATATAGGAATTTTAATCATGTTGAATAAAAAACACACAAGTCGAATTGCGAATATTTTATAAATTTTTGACCTATTGAATAATTTTCATTGAAATAAAATGAGGTAAATGCTACAAACTGCTTAGTGCCAAGGATAAAAAAGTCGAGAGGCACTCGAATTTTTCAAATTGGTACGGAAAGTTGTTCGGTGAAATATAAAAATAGTAAAGTATACTTTACACACCTTCGTGTTTTACTATTCGCCTTTCTATCGTGCTACCAATCAAACTTATATTTGTTGCATGTTCAAACTTCATCGTTATTATTTTACAGTGGTGGGTTTTTGTCCAATCTCTTAATACTAAATTCACCGTAATTTCTAATTAGTTAAATGCTACGTCAGTCTCCGGGGACCAACACTAAACTTTCTGTTTAAGCGGCGTCGGTCTCGAGAGTCCAACAGTATCAAATTTAACGCATTTTCTGTATTTACACGCTGCCTAATCGGAAAGTCAAACAAAGTCATCTTCGCGTTTAATGTGTTAAATTCCTTAGAGAACTTTTGGCAAAAATATGAAAAAGAAAAATGAAACGGCTTTTCTCCGAACCAATAGAGTTTCCTCGTCCAAAACGGGTTTTGCCACGCTAACGATGCCCAAACCATTTTATACGACTTGTAAAAGTTCCAAACAGGAGCAAATGTGGTACGAAACTCTTGTTTGATCACTTATAGTTTTCGAATTACAAATGATTCCAGATACAGAGATATAACTTAAAAAATTCATATTTCCTGAGCTATTAGTATATTAAAAAAAATATATTACAGTTAATATCAGTGCAACATAAAATTGATTAACAATTCAGGATCTATAAAGATTAGAATCTATGAAGATTATTAAGATACCGCAAAAATAGAGGTGGAATTTCTCATGTACACGTCATATTGAAGCTAAATTTCTTTTAACTTTTACCTAGTCGCATGCAGTCGAAAGAACCGCGCATTTGGTATGTCACACAAAAATAATATTAATTGCTTCAATACTTACCTCGGGCTACCTGTGAACATAAATTATAAATTCAATTATTATTAGTTTTATATGTAAAAATATTAAGCGCGCAGTCCTTTTGTCTATGCGCAACTAGATAAGGGTTAAGCTTCATATTTTTGAGAATGAGTCGCATAGAAATGATGCACTATGATATACAGTTTCAATGAATATATCTTTATTTAATGAAGGAACATAGAAATATTATTATAATTATAACATGAATTCAAATTTTAATGAAGAGGATGTTTTCTTTGTAGGAAATGGTACCAGTGATCCTAGACAACTTAACGGATGAAGAACTGAAGAAGGAAGCAAAAAACGAATCGAAAAATGATGCAATTTCAGCGATAATCAAAGCTACGAAGTGTTTGGTTTCACCAGTGCCACATCAAGAAGAAACAATAAAGAACCTCGAAATTTTAAGGTTAAAGATGATACTTAAACTTTTACAAATATCGTCATTCAATGGCAAAATGAACGCTCTTAATGAAGTGAACAAAGTCATCGCCAGCGTTAGCTACTATCCACATAGAAATCCGAGCTTAGAAGAAGAGGAATGGCTCACTGCGGAACGTATGGCTGTAAGTACTTTCCTTTGAAAATACTGATTAGTTTGTTTGTCCAATGCAAACGAAATGCACTTCTTTATTTTCTATTTTGTCAAAATATTTGCATACTATCAACTTTTTATATATGATGAGGAAGCATGTTCCTCATATAAATCCATCGAAAGTTGTAATTTGAAGAGTAAGATAAGAAAATAAAAGAAACATGTTGGCAACCCTCATGATAATTACGTTCGTCAAAAATTAACAAATTGTTATCAGATATTATCGTCAAAGTGAAGAAAACGTGAAATCTGTATCAAGTTCATTCAGTTGCTTTGTTATAATACAAATAGAATGTATCGTCGGTTTACGAGCTCCATCTCTTTTTTTTTTTTTTTTTTTTTTTT